AAAAAATTGATTATCATACCAATGACATGTAAACATGGGGAAAAGGCTTGGTGCTAGATTGATGTACCTTTATTTTACAGAACTAAAGCCTGAGCAATTTGCACCTTGCATGCACTATGGCTACACATGATAGAGCAGCTTTGAAAACAAACTGCATGCTATACAAACAAATTTTGTTTTTATAGTGACTTACATTCAATAGAGGTAGTATTTATGATAAGAAAAGGCAGCTGAGAGATTCAATGAGTCCAAACAAAAATACAAACAAGGAGCCTCGTGCTTTGTTGCAGCAATTAATGAAGATGGGTGTGACCGATAATGATAATTAACTAAAAACGTATAATACCTGAACAGTAAGCAAAGATGACCAAGATGTTTACAGTGGTATTTGAAGAAGACAGTCAGTACTAAAGTTCTGGTGGTACAAAACTATTCTTCGAACAAAGCTTGCTTCGTTGTGGCTAAGTGACGAAAATTGAGTTAACACGGCCGATTATTGTGTGAATCTACGAAGTGTGTTTAGCAAATTATATCTTTACAAAGAAAGAAGGTAATGCTTTGATTTTTACCATGCAAACAGATATTGTAATGATCTATATCTAGTGCAAAAATCACTGGAAAATCATGTTTAGTTTTCAAAATATAACTGTCCGAAGTTTGATTAGTCCGATAATTGATTAATTACTCTAGTTTACTATACTATGGTTTCCTAACTTCCTGTCTCTACTCTCTAGATCTAACTCCAGGCTTATCTACTGCGCATGCGCATACGACAAACATCGACCATTAATCGATCATTGATTCATTGCCCAGAAAGGAGAAAGCCATGGATAACAGAGACTTGTGTGGAAGGAATTTAAGTAAGTTGATCTATGATACAAGGGTCTTATTATTATTGATTGCTACTATCTAGACATTGAAGATCTTGAGCCATTAATCGAATTACTTAAGAGACATCACTACAGCAAGGCCTCATATCATGAACTCGGTCTGCGCCTTAAATTGTCTCAAAACACATTAGAGAAAATAAAGAAAGATTATGGAGAAGTCGATGCTTGCTTTAGAGAGTGTTTGGTTTGCTGGCTGCGTAAAGCTGATGGTGTGGAGTATCCAACAATAGATACACTGATAGCTGCTCTTAGAGGAATAGATAATGCTGCAGCTGATGGTATTGATGAAGAAAGACGAAGTAAGCAAAGTTCATGCAATTACAGTTTTAACATTATATTTTAGCTTATTCTAGTGAAAGCTCATCAGATGCTGGCAGACCATTAACCACACCTCCAAAATTACATAGTAAGTTGTTTTGTACATGTCAACTTACCATATTTCCTCGAATAGAAGCCGCCCTTCGAATAGTAGCCGTATCCAAATAGCAGCCCCCCTCTGTGCTTGCACTATTGTAATAGTAGCCGCCCTCTAATAGAAGCCGCAGTTAATTAAAATTTAATTAATTAATGTGCCATGTGTGCTCGTTGTTCTCTGGCAAGACCTATAGTTTCTCTCCTATTACTGGGTTCTATATTGCCTTGTAGACATGGTGGCCTCTGCAACACTATCAATTTCCA